CTGTCACACAGAAGCTCCTGTACAGCTCCCCAGGCCAAGGCAGGAGCTGTGCAGGCAGTGCTGGCTGCAGGCCAGGATGTGCAGCAGGAGAGCATCACTCACTTCTGCCCTGGGCATCCCCTGCCCCGGGCATTTGCCAGGGGCCTGCTTGGGGCAGGGAACAAAGCAGCCCCCACGCTGGCCTCTGGTGTGCTCCTGATTCTTCTTTACCTCATACCAATATCAGCTGCAGGAATATGGTGATGCCAAGGACTTGATAAGTCAGGTGAGGTGAAGTTTGCCCCCAGAAATCTGGATACTGCATGAAATCAGCTCCAGTTTATCTTACTGTGTTTGCACTGTGTTTCTACATTCTCACTTTTAACCTGCTTGCCTTTCTGCATGACCCACAGCTTGTATTTGGATCAATTACCATTCCCTAACAAACACTGGTAGCCAAAGTTATGCAGGTATCTCAGGAATAACTATTACAAAGTCACCTACGACTTCCTCTGAGCTGCCTGTGTGAAGCTTTGCACTCTCCTAAGTGTACCAGTGATTCAGAACATGACTAAGGGAGATGGGTAAAGGAAAAAATCTGTTACTCTGCTTTTGTGTTGGACAAATTAAACTTATATTGGACAAATGTGTAGATTTTTTCAGCTCTGATAATGTGCCTTAACTGATAATTCATTTATTTCAAATAGAAAAAAAAAAAAATCTCATTTTACTTGTTGCTTCATATAGAGACATTAACCACAGGGTTTTGTACTAGTTATAATTTTTATAAATTTCAAACAAAGTGTGGTTCTACACAGGTCAGAATGGCCTAATTACAGGAAGTTCATTTGCACACTTTTTTTTTCTTGTAATAAATTCATACATTCTGTATTGACTGGAAAAAAGGACAGGTAATTCTGTTCTCTTTCCCTGTCTGATTATCTCTCATCAGTCACAATATACAAATACATCATTATCAACACCATGGAAATCATGTAAGAAAAACAAACTGTACCAATTCTCAGCGGGGGAGAGGAAATCTTAGCAGCCATTTCAGTCCAGCTGCAAGAAGAAATACACATTTTGGATCTTTATTATTATTATTATTATATATTTCTAATCACATATATATATTTGAAGTCTTTGAGTATTTTTAGAAAGGAAGCTCATGGCCTTTCTCATACCCAATCCTGTTTGAAATATCAAGACTCTAAGAAAATCATAGATAATAAAATGGCTTCTCATCACACACACAACCAGAACATGACACACACAGAGCTTTGCTGTCGCTGGCGAGAAAAGCCAGATTTCAGGTGTGGTTTGGCTGCAGCTATTTGTGTTCAAGACAACGAGCACTGGTCTGGTTCTCCACCTGGTTGTGGTTCCAGGTGAGAGGAGAGGATCAGGCCTGATTCTATTTTAGCCTGGTTTGCTAAAAGCAAGACTTGTGTGTCATGCAACTGCCCGTCTCTGTTCGCCACTGGTGCAGGGAAGGACTCTGCAGCCCACACACACCTGAGTGAGCACTTTTGAGGATGTGAAGGTTCTGAAGTTTCACAGAAGAGCAGCAGAGCAGAGAGAGGAGAGCCCAGGCAAACCCTCAGCCTGGAAGGCAGGTGTGACCAGCCCAGGCCCAGGAGCACAGCCAGGCACTGGGCAGCAGCAAGGGCTGCAGCAGCACAGAATTTCCTGGGGTCTGGTGTCTTCTACAGCCAAATGTTAGTCACAACCATTACTTTTAAATTGCTTCTAAATGGTCACTATAGCATCTCCAAACAACACTGAAATGAAATCCTTATTTGAAATCTATGATTTTTAGGTCCATCTACCTGAATGTGATGGTGTCAAAGACCTACAGACAGAATAAGCATACCCTAACATACACATTAGTCTCTCTGGACTTTACCAAATCATCTTCTAGACTGTACATGGAGAGTCACTCCCTTAATTATCACTTTGCTTGACAGAAATATACTAATTAAAGACTGTCCTGCATATTATTTAAAAAACTCAAAAAGTCACCAAATCCCATTTTGTCTCATCAGAAAAGCCAGAAGGTGTGGGTCTCAGAAGGTTGCTCCTTTGTCTTTCCATCCATCAGCAATGTCACAAATCTTCAATATGGCAGTTTCATACACTCAGGGTAACTCTTCCCTATCTCTCTCCCACACACAAAAGTTTACTATACTCACTAATGTGCAATCAAAGCTCCCTAACCCTTCCCTCTCCTATGCTTAGGGCAGGGGAAGACAGCAGCACTGTTCCTGTGCAAAAATTACTGAAAGTAATAGAGAAACCAGAATGAACTTATTTTAGAGAGGACAAAGTATTTGCACTATGAGAAAATGTCACTGCATATTTCCTTAGGGGACTGAAAGGAATCCATTCCTCCTGCAAGATGCTGATAACCACAGTAGACCAAGAGGATTCCTGTTCCTGAGAGCCTACATGTCACTTTTGAGGTAAATGACCAACTCAAACAGGCAAGCTCCTACCTCTGTAGAACAAAAATAGCTTCCAGAAAGGTCCTTTAGTCTTGAACAGAAAATGTCAAAAATCATAGAGTTTAGATATGGAGGGTTAGAAGAGCCATGGGAATCAATCACTACAGTGCAACTTATAATCAAGCAATAAGTCTTCACAGGCAAAAAAAGAAAAAACTGACTAAGCCTTTACCTACTCCAAGGTGTTTTCTCAAACAGGACTACCTACCTGCTCCACAGCTATCCTGACTCACACACTAAGGTACTTGCCTCCACTGAGACACAAAGGAAAACATTGGAGTCCCTTTGAAGGTGAGAGCAGAAACAATACACACACCTACTGCTTTGCTCAGAGGCTCAATTAGTAAAGAGTGGGTTTTGGTTTGCTTCATCTCCATTTCTAGTGCTTTTAGTGCCCTTTGTTATTTACATAATGCACCACTAGTCTGAGGGTTAAACAAAATATCCCTAAGAGTGAAAGCCACTCACTCACTCTTGAGCTTCTTCTGAGCTCATTTTTACCAGACTGATCTTTGCCTGTTTGCAAGTCTTAGTCAATATTTATCTTTACCAAAGTACTAGCAGCTTTTGTGGGACCTAAGACCCAATTACCATCAAAATGCCTTCATGCCTTAACAGCTGCTCTAAATGAGCTAATGGCTTGTATAGGAATCATAACATCTGTAATCACTTTATATTATACATTACATCCTTATGTGGCAGAGATTTGGTACAGTCCTTTCATCAAACGTCCTGGAAAGAAGTATTTAACAACAACACTTTATCCACTCATGGAGCATCTAATGCTCACTGCCTATTTGCAATGCTCAAGTATATTCCAAATGGGGGGTGAAATGTATCTACTCATAGCCCAGCACACAAGGAAAGCATGCAGTCTACTCAAACATGTGACAGTAAATGGCATTCAACTGAATTCTCAGCACCAAATGCAAAGGGTTGTGATCCAGCAACCAGAGACTGTAGAGGGGGCAGAGGAATGACTTAGACTGTAAAAAGAGTTCAGAGTGTTCTTTGTCACAGTAGCTGTTACACATCTTCACTTCCCTGCTTAGCCCTGCACTTCCCAGGCAGGAGCTGCCACCTGCACCATGCCAGGTGTGGAATGTGTGAGGCAGAACCTTCCCGGGCCACCGCAGCAGAGTCACGTCACTGCTGCACCAAGCCTCTCGGATGGTCCCAGCCAGAAGTCTCCTTTCCACAGCCACCCTCAACTGGGGTGTTTTTGGTGTTGACTGACAGCAAAAAGGGCACATTTGTGATGATGTATCAGCTGGAATTAAGGAGGACAGGGAAGGCACAGCCAGAGGCAAGCAAATGGAAAAACCTCCAGGTGACCCCAGGGTGGAGCAAGGACTCGTAACCACCACGTGCCCCTCTGCAGTGATGTGGTGCTCAAGCAAAGTTGCCAAAAGGTGCGTGCATAGAGACTCATCAGCTCTGCTGTCGACCTAATTTAGGCCACATCTTCTGAAACAGTTTGATAATCAATGCAAGAAGCATTTTTCTCCTCTAATACTGAAGGTATGTTTGATGTTTTCTGGATGTTTAATGCTCCTTTCAAGTTTGTTTTTTTTTTTTTTTCCCAGCTTGCCAGGTGGACAGCACAGTTCTCATCTGTTCATGTTGATAAAATTGTAGTGAATTATGAACCTCAGAGCTTGTGAGAAAGGCAACTTTGATCCAGTGTCCACCCAAGATAAAGACAGGTGGACAGGGTCCTGAGGAAGGCTGGTCCTGCTGTTCAGCTGCCAGCCCTCTGTTCTGCTGGGAAGCTTTTGGCCACTTCACTTTCCTTCGTGTCTGACTCTACTGAGGCTGTGCTGCAGGAGTCATTGTACGTGTCTGAAAAGGAGGACATGGGCATTGTCACTACAATATATCTACAGGATTTTTCATTTACAGTCTTGACGTTCTTTCTTAAAAGCCTGGAATAAAAGAAAACATAAAACCACAATTCTACTGCTCTTCTAACTCCTTCACAAAAGATAAGGGAGGCTCTGCTGGTATGTAACGGTAATGTGTGCCTGGCTTTGTTTTTATTTTGAAGCTCTGGACATGCCAGTGAAATGAGAGTCATTGTTGGGCTGCTGAGGTGAAGGAGCAGCAATTAACAAACTCCCTTTACACCACAGCAAAGAATCCTGAGGTTGAAAAAGGATTTCCTCTACTTAAATAAACTGACCAAAAGAATCAAGAGATCAGTAACTCAGAATAAAGTGCTGGTAGCTCTCCATCACATATCTCCAGGGGATGGCTGTGCCAGATTTTGCTTTCTTCTGCTACTAGCAGAATAAAAGGATATATTTTGGTAAATTATATTTAAGGATGGACAAATATTAGTCTGAATTGTAAACCTTTGATCTGCAGAGTTGTTTAGATTCAGCTTTTCCAGTGCAACCTGTTTGGGTGTTAAGTCAGAACCAAAGCTCTGACTGGATAGCTTTTAGTGCTGATTTGGCTGAAATCTTGCCAGAGCAGCCCTTCCTGCAGCTTTTGGAGCCAGCTGTGAAATATGATGAAGGCAGTAATGGTTCATGAATTTTTATTGTTTTCAAACCTAGGCCAGAAGCACAGCCCTGATGCTGGTCTCCATCCAAAGTCTATCCATGCCAGGATCAAAGCTGTCCTGCAGGCATACCCTGTGTATAAGACACTTGGGCTTGCTGTAAAGCAGCCAGCCTGAGTACTGATAGCTATAGAAGTTGGATGGGAGATTCAAGTTCTGCTCAGAAAGGGGAAAACAATTAAGCCAGGCCAAGGAAAGCTGATGTGCCTGACTAGCTCTGACACCCAGGCACCAAATTTCAGGTTAGCTCAGCCATGTCACCAGAGACTGCAGCACAGACATGCACTCAGGTGAGTACTTCAATACAGAAGTGCACTTTTTATCACTTTTCTTTTTTCTATCACATTCTTTTTCAGTTTGGAGAAAAAAAAACCCACCAAACCAGTAACACATTTTCTCTATTACCTGCATTGCTGCTCTTAATTATGTTGTTACTGTCCCCCTCTGCTGGCTGCAATATGCTGGAGGGAACCCAGTCGCTTTTCTCAGAGACCAGTTTCTTCACTAACCTGAAACTCAGAGAACAGTCAGTGAATTTTCCTACATTGCCCTTTCCTGGGTTGTGTTTCTTAGAGGTGCATGTTGGGCTATTATTTCCTAAACTAAGGAAGGAGGCAGAGGACCCAGGGCAGTCCTACAGGTATCCATACAGAATCACAGAATGACCAGGTTGGAAGAGACCTTCAAGACCATAAAGTCCAACCCATCCCTAACACCTCAACTAAACCATGCACTGAGTGCCACATCCAGTCTTTTTTTTTAACACATCCAGGGATGGTGACTCCACCACCTCCCTGAGCAGACCATTCCAGAACTTTATCACTCTTTATGTAAAAAAATTGTTCCGTAATATCCAACCTATATTTCCATCTTTTCCAGGACGTTCTGGCTGTTCTAGATGTCCAGTTCTGTCTCTCTACCATACTCACCATTGACCATTCTCTCCTTCCTGCACAAACTGCACTAAATCTCCATCCTCGAGAGTAAGAGAATCTGGGAAACAGCTGTCAAAACTGCCTTCAACCCGGAAGAGATTGCTCCCCTAAAATGAATGAAACAAGGCACCAGAAATACAATCACCATGGATGAAAGAACACTGTGCAAGAGATTTTAGTTAAATACTGAATTAGGCATTTCAAGCTGGCAGAGATTTCTTCTGTAGGTAGTTGTTCTTTATTATGCCCAGATTAAATATTATTCAAAATTTGGATAGACCTGTTCTCTGCATTTAGACTTTAGGCTTAACCCACCAGCCATTATGCTAGTATAAAAGTTAGGTTTGTGACAGCAGATGAAGTTATCTGGAAAAGTCTGAAATTATTTTTTAAAGACTCAGAGTTTTTTCTTGCTTTTGTAGCAGGCAAAGTGACAGCTTACATGTATGGGTGACTTTTTATGATCCTCATCCTGATCAACAAAAGTCTTGTAATAATCTTCCAACACCCCAGATCAAATTTCCATTTTCTGTATTCCCACACATCCATGGATTTAAGGCTGGTATGAACCCAAACTTTGCAGGTTACATTGTGATCCTTAAAGAAGAGGAAGTTGTGGTAGGAAAGATCAGTGTAATTTTAAAAAGCAATTACATTGTTAGGGTTGGTCTCTTCCTCCAAATCAGAAGAGTTGGAGAGTTCATCCATGCTGGAAGGGATGGCTTCAAAATCTTCAAATGTGTCTAGAGAAGGCATTTGTCTGCTGGGCCAACCTTTTCAAAAGACATAAGCCAGAAAGAGTTAGCTATCAGACATTAGCCTCTTTGAGAACCAGTCTGTAAAATAAAGGTCACAGGTCCACTTCCCGCTCTTCCACTTACCAAATTGCTGGTACTTTTTTATAGCTTATTCCATGGCTTTGCCATAAAAATTATGTCACAGCCATTATTGTGTCTCTAAAAGCCTGCACCACTCTCTGTGCCTGCTGTGAGAGCAGCGTGTGTGGCTGCAGCGCTCACACCCATGGATACCCCCAGTGCGCAGCATTGCCCAATCCCCTCAGCTCAGGAAGTACAAAAACCAAGGACCAGGAATCTTCCTGCAGAGCAAATGATAACTTGTGCTGACATGACTTTCAGAGGGCCATGATGATTCAGTTTCCAGCTTATCTCCACATGTTTAAGTAAGTACAAAACCATGGAATTTTGGTTGACTTCTTATCTCCATCTCACCCTAAGGTGATAATACCACCTGAGCAATTACAAGACTATACCCTAGAGCAGGCTGCAATGGAGGGAAGGTTCAGAGCAAGGCACAAAGACAGCCAGGGGGGTGAGTGGAGCTCTCAGTCATATTTGTGCTGTTACCTGTCTTACTGCATGATTTTCACCAGAACCACCCCAACCCAGTGGAATGGACTCAGTGAGAGATTTCCAGCCCAAGCTCAACAGCCAGTCTCTCTTCACCTAGAAAAGCATGTCTATAGGATGTGTCCTGAGGGAAACTGAGGCTGAGCCTTATAAGACCTGTCTGCCTGAGGCTCCCATGGTTCTCAGGCTCTTTTGTGCAGATGGCAACCATCATCTGCACTTTCCTGCACTTGATGCCTGTCCCTTTTCTGGTAGGGATAGGTATGACTACAGGCCAGCTCAGCAGAAACAGACCTTGCATCTACCAAAAGATTCTGCAGCCCTGACAGATACAAGCTGAATGGAGTCAGTCAATTTACCATTGCCTTCCTAATTAGTGTACCTGCTGGGCATTATGATTCACAGGGACTTGGCTGAGCAGATGCTGAACCAAATTCTTTACATCCTGTGTGTCACTGCTCTCAACAAGGCAAAGCTCTGGCCACAAGGCATGGAGACAGATTCTCACACAGTGGGAATATGCACATCCCAGCACTCTAAACCCACACCAAACCCTGGCCTGAGACAATACAAAACCTAAGCCAGGCAGTTCAGGCAGTAAGGAGAAAAGTGACCTGATCTAGGAGAAATAGGTTTATCAATTGGTTTATTTAATGCTTTCCCATGCACATCCTCCCTGCTATAGGTACTGGTTGGTGCAACACATGGTCATGCAGCTCTGCAGTCCCTTCTGCCACCCAGGGACTGGCTGCTCCAACAGCTGCAGCCCAGATAAAAGGGATGCAGGGAC